TGAAGTGTTCTTAGCTGTGCATTAAAACCAAAAACAACTGTCTTGTGAAACTGTACTCAACAGTAAAATAACTTTAACATTTACTGTATCAGTAGATCATATAATTTCTGCTAAGTGTTAATAAGTGATACTTAAGAACAAATATTAGTATATACATATTAGTATATTTCCGCATGGACCAATAATATGATCTATTTTTGAATAAGTTAAGTGAGGACACTTAGCTAAAGAAAAGAAAGGTTACAGTATGTGTGATCATCAGCATGTGATGCTTTAAACATTTATGCTGATTTTTACTTATTTATTTATTTTTACTTCTTCCTGTTCGCTTCTTTCTTCTTTCTGCTGTGACTTTTTTTGCATCTCTCACTGTTCATTATTGTCACTCTCTGTCTCTTTTTCCCCTTCACGTGGGACTTGTTTTTCTGCCACCTAATTAAACAAGCAGTAATTTTGGGAAAATAAAAGCCATCATAATTATCCACAGATAAGAGAATACAGGGAATAAAAAAATTAATTTGTTTATGCATTCATGGAGATTTTAATCCAAGTTCAGAAAGGAAGCACGGAGAAATGTGTGTGCACACTGAACGGGGTGTGTTTGAAAGCTAAGGGGACAATTTAAAAGTCCTGATTTATTATTGCAATCTGTCTCCTGGTACTGTGGATGTGGTTGTGAAATACTTGTTTTAATTAGTTTTTACATTATTTGATTATGTTTTAATTGAGAACGATTACTTTGATAGTTTTTATTTATTTATTTATTTATTTATTTATTTATTTATTTATTTATTTATTTATTTTTCACACTGTATCACATTGTATCAAATCATAGTGTATTGTTTTGTACTGCATTGTATCATATTGTATCACATCTTATTATATAGTAACATAGTGTAGCATGTCATATCACAATGTAATATTTCATTGTGTAATACCATATTGCAGTGAATTGTGTGACTGTCTTATACTGTATCAATCATACTGTTTTGTATGATATCATATTAAATTGTACCAAACTGTGTTTAGACTTATCACACACCTACACCTGATTTGATAATGGAAAGTGTAAAGTACAGGTTGACATGTGTTTCAGATTTAATGCCAACATTTGGGGAGGAGAAGGCTGTCAGATATAAATGTCTTCGCTTAAAGGTTTGTTCTGCTCCATGTTTTTGTTCTGCATTCGAAAGATGGTTATCCACCYGCTAATCCCCTGTGGTTATCACACAAACGAATGGTCAAAAACATTTTACTATCATCTCAGACAAATGCTTCTCAAATTTCAGGCAGTGACGTGTGTGAATGTGTGTGTTTACTGCTTCCCCACCCTTCTGACAACTTCCAGTGTTTGTATGTAGCATGTAGAAAGGACAAGATTTGAGGTTTTTACTGATAATATTTTATTTAAAGCATGTTACAGAAGTCATGAGAGGCAGGTTTATTTTGAACAAACATTGCAAATGTGTTCATTCCTACAAAACTGACAAATATATTTGCAAACAACACTAAACTGATTCAGATTAACATAAAATAAATCATGTTTTATAATTAAATGTCTGTTTCCTGCTTTAAAGAAAAATCCTC